ATGTTTTTTATAAAAAAATATTTTTTTCTTCTGTTAGGTAAAACATTGCATTACTCACTGGAGAGATATTATGTGACACACAAAAATCATTACAATAAAAATTGTACAAGGCCGTTTTTATGAGCCAAACTGGTTCTAAATATAGTTTAGAAGTACTTGCAGTAATGATTTTCTAACTTAGGTAATAATTCAAAAAATGTGTTTAATAACAATTTTTTATCAGAAATATATTGGTGTGTAGTGTTTATAGGAGTTGATTCTAAATTGTTGTCTTCAATATTATCCCAATGCACAATTGAGTGATACACATTCACGATAATAATATGATGCAACATAGTATAATAAGTGACGTCATTCTCTATCGATTACTCTTACTCATTTATTGAAACGATTATTTTTTACAATTCAAAACAGAAATTTACATTTAGACATAAGCGCCAACAAGTGTAAATTAATTAATAGGTATGCGTATAAATAGTGAATAAGCAAAATTTAATTATAAATGTTAGCATGAGCGCCATAAGATTTTACTTTACGTGGCCTAAGCGACAACAGTATTATTTTAGTTAATAATAGAATTAATAGGGCATAGGCACCAAAATATTAGAACTAAAATCACAGGTAAGAAAATTAATGGGGCGTAAGCACTAAATTATATACCTAATAATATTCAATTTTTACAAACACTTCATTAACTATTTTAATAAATTATTATCATAGGTAATAATAATATATTTACGGTTTTCAAATTCGAAAATATTTTTAAACTTAAGTTAGAAACTATTTTTAACTTAATATTCTATAAAAATATAAAATGTATCATATAAATATATTTTCAGAATGATTATTATAAAATATTTTTAAAATAAGAATCTACAACAATAAAAAATATAAATTACGTAAATGATTTTAAATACATTTTAAAAATATTTTCTTCGTGATCATGAGAGAATATTTTGTAAATATTGTCATATCCTGATAGCTGTGTGATAGTTGGTAAGTTTTATGTTACTTATTTATAATAGTATATTACTTTAGTACCTATGTATTTATTGTATTTATTTTTTAAACTGAAAATTAAACCTAAATATATTATATAAAAAAAATATATATAAAAAAAATATATATAAAAACAATAAAATAAAAACTATTTAGATTTATTTTCATAAATAAAATATTACTTATTTTAATTTACAATGCTTTATTTTAGTTATAAATAATTTAAAACTCATTAATTTCAAAAACAACATAATATTATAAATTATAATAAATTAAGTTAACAATTGAATTAAGAATGCAATGTTTACTATAAAGTATAAATTAATGTATAATTTGCTTGAAATCTTTTATCTCAACTTAAATTTTGTTTAAGTTTGGTAAATAATTTAAATTCCAATGTTATAATGTATGCATGTTATACTATAGAATGTAAATTAAAGGATGTAAACAATTATCATTTATAACAAGTCAAGATTTTTTTAATGATTTCCAACTGAAAATGTATTATAAAATTATGCATATAATATTAATCATAAATAATGATATGATTCATATCATATTCTTAAATATTTTAATTATTTTAACAATATTGAATTATACTCGTTCAATATTACTCATTGTGGGATTCGTTGGCTTATTGGACTAGTGTTAGTCACACAATTTAAATTCTACGGTATAGCTTATAATTTAGATTTTAATTTTCTTTAAAATAAAAAAAAAATTCTTTAAACACACTTAACTTAAGTTATATTTAATGAATTAGTTTTTTTATAAATTAAAACCAACTTAAAAATACATGTACCTAGTTTTATTTTAATTTATTAATTTAATTCATATATAATTTATTTATACTTGTTATTGTTAGATATATTTTGCTTTTTTAATATGAACTTCTACTATAGCATACATTTGACAAAAGTAATTTACATTGAAATTAACTTAACAGAAATAGTTTCTTGTAAACTAATATTATTATATTATTTAATTTTGATATAACCTTTAAACATTTAATAACTTATAAAACAACGAAAAAATTGATATAAGCTATTCAATACCTACATTAATATAATATATAAATACTGGGATATATCTACAAGTTTATGTATATATTATATAAACTATTTCCATGCATGTCTATTACCCGATGGTATAATATAAAGAACTTGGTATAACAACCACACCCTAATCCATTCTTAAAAACTTTTCAAACGGGGAAAATGTAATAATGTTTAAAAGAAATCATAACATGTTTATTTAAAATATAATATATTAATTTATATATAGTTTCATTAATTTAACTTTTAACCTACAGTTAGGTTAGGTTATATGTATATTTATTAACAAGACCTGCATATAAATTAACCTACCTATATAAAACTAGTTAAAAGTAAATATCTTGTTTAGGAAGTTTAAAATTGTTTTGGGATGGATATGATAATGAATGACACTTATAACAGCCAAATTTTAAAAGGTGTATGCCCATTTGAAGAAGCTGAAAAATAATTGAACTCTTCACTGTCTATTAGCATTAAAAAAAAATACTTATTGCAAATGGATTTTCAAATCATTTTATATTATCAAAAATTCCTAAATGAAAGTGATATTTAGTCAACTGAACAATTTGCTAGGGAGATATTACCAGATCTAATAGACGAGGATAAATATTCAGAATATTATGGTATATTTTAAAAATTTAAAAATTTAAMCAGGATATAAAAAACTTTTAATGTGCATTTCGGATTTCTATAAGAAAAAGTTAGCTAAAAAAAACATTACCCAACTTGTAACAAATAAAATACCAAAATACAATTGATAGTATACAATTAGGTACTCAATGTAATTTATGTAGATGATGTACCTTCTTCAAAAAAGTGTCGATTGCAAATTATAAATGTGGATTGATCAACAGAAATAACTATTGTGTTAAAAAAAATAACTGACTGGATAAACACAAACGCAATGGATATATTCAATGACGAAGAGCTAAATATAACGTTGCATATTGAAAATAAAATTGTTAATAATACAGACGAAGATGAATCAAGTAATAAAAATTATATTATTGCAACAGTATTAAGTGTTGTATGCAAATTACCAATAAAAATATTGAAGTTGGCAAGTCCATGACATCCAAAAAGATAGGTATTTTCAAATTTTTATAAACATGTGAAAATTCACAAAGCAAAATTAACTAGTAGAGAAGAATAAAATACAGACCATCGATGAATTTATTAGTTGTGTGCCTAAAAAAACATTACATCATCGACCAACTAACCAKAATTAATATCAAATATTGCGAAACACCATCTAGTTCAAATGAAACTCAACAGGATTTTCATGAATGTGGAGTTATTGAGGCGGATGACTCTTGTATCTTAATTGTTTTAACGCCTAATACATTCAAAGCAGTTGTTAATACTGAAGTTGAAAATACAAAGTCTGAATCAAAATGGGCAAAAGCAAAATATCAAAAATGTGAAAGAGAAAAACGGCGCCGATTAAGTACTTAATTGAATGATAAATTACCACAATCACTAATAACAAATTTCTTTCCATTACTTGATAAAGTTAGTCACTTATTAATGAGAATACAAATTTACATAACCTTTTAATTGACAGCATTGAAGATAATAAGACATTAACTTTATACAACAAAGTACTAAATTCAAATACTTTACTAAAATGTTTGTATGAATGTGCATCAAAAAACCAACAGAATACTAAAAACAATAATAGATTTGATGAACAGCTAAAAAAGTTTTCTGTTTACTTATTTATTGTTGGAGGGAGACTACTTTATGAGACTTTACACAAAAATATAAATGATGCTTTGCCTTCAATTTCTACTTCATTTCGTTTTATTAATAACACTCAATGTAGTGTAACTGAAGGTTGTTTTCATGGGAGAAACGCAGGGGGGGTAAGGGTTTAAACACCCCCCGAAATAGTAGGTACAAAAAATAAATTATCTTACCTACAAATGTATTAGTGTACTCATAACATTTCAAAAAAATTAAAATAAATTATTAGTTATTAAAAAGTTTCCCTTCTCCCGTGGATTGTAAATTAATTGATACAGTAAAATCACCAATAAAATGTATGATAATGCAGTTTCGAAGTGAGTATGACAGTATGTTATAACTTATTAATAACTGATCGACATCGAAGCCGCCAATCCGATGATGTACGTAATGTAGACAGACGACGAGTGTAATTGCCGTCWACCGGAAATTCGCAACGACCCGTCTTATCTAGAATCTAGATAATTCTAGAAATTGTATCATTGTTCAATAATCAATATAATATACCATAGTATGCCAACGAACAACGAACTGTCGTATACTCGTGTCTCGTATTTTAGCCTGTATTGCTATACTAAAGACGAAATATTAAAAATGAGTTCAATTTTAAAGTTTTTTAAATCAAACAATAAAAATACTACCTCAGTTTCGAATGTTTTGATTGATGTAGATTCAGATAAATTGTCCGCCAATAAAAAGACGAAAACCCGATATGTCGCAATCTGACGCAGATCGTAATGTGAGTTTTTGACTTTTTGCAATAATAATATTAATAAATAATATTATAAAGTATAATATATTATTTATTATTATAATATAATATTATTGTTATTTGTTTTATATTTTATTTATAGATTTTTCCGAATGATATTGCAAATTGTTGTAAGCAATTGAATAACATTGAAAAATATGAAGTTCTTGTGCATAATTGGATACCTGATATAGGCTTCAAGTTTCCAATTTCTGGCAAACGAAGTTTTAAAATTCAACATTCTTGGTTACGCTCATTTGTGTGGTTGGTGTATTCTGCTGCAGAAGACGGAGCTTATTGCCGTTATTGTGTCTTATTTGGATCAAATTCTGTTGGTAAAGGGGGTCATCAGAACACAAATTTATTGGTTCAGACTGCGTTTCAAGATTGGAAGAAAGCACTTGAAAAATTTAGAGAACACAAAAAAAAAAAAATATCACCTTAACGCCATGGAGGATGGACAAAATTTTAAGTTGATTTACAAAAAACGGAAAAGTGACGTGATCAGCGAAATTGACAAAGGGCGAAAAATACAACAACTCGAAAACAGACATAAGTTAATTCCGATCGTCCGAGCCGTTTTGCTGTGTGGCAGGCAAGGATTAGCATTAAGAGGTCATAGAGATCAGTGCTCTTTATCATTGAAAATGCCGATAGAAAACGACGGGAATTTCAGAGCGTTACTTCGTTATGCCCAAGACAACGGCGATAAAGCTTTGGCCAATCATTTAAATACTGCGGGTGCGAATTCAACGTATTTAAGCTATCGTATTCAAAATGAAATAATTGATGCAGCAGGGAAACAAATAACGACGAATATTGTACAACGTGTAAACAAATCTAGATATTTTTCTGTCATTGCTGACGAAAGTACGGATGTGAGTGGCATTGAACAGTTTTCAATATGCGCTCGATTTGTCGATAAAATGGACGTATACAAAATTCGAGAAGACTTTTTGTGCTTTATCCCTGTCGAGGACGTTACCGGAAAGGGGCTTGCAAATACGTTTCTGACCATGATGGAGAAAATTGGCATAAACCTGGCAAATATGAGAGGGCAAGGTATGTGTTATTTATGGTTATGTTATATTTTCTTAATAAAAATGTTTAGGCTATGATGGGGCACGTGCAATGAGCGGAATTCGACGGCTGTGCTGCCAAAGTTCGAAAACTATATCCAGAAGCTATTTACGTCTACTGTGCTAATCATAATTTGAATTTGGCTATTACACATGCATGCAAAATATCGTCCATCCGAAATTGCATAGGCACAATTAAAGAGGTTGTAAATTTCTTTCGTCTATCCAATAAGGCAGGTCTAGTTTTAAAAGATAAAATTCAAGTGTCCTGCCCAAGTTCGAAACAAACACGTCTTCTTAAATTCAGCGAAACGAGATGGGTTGAGCATTTGGACTCACTCAGTTTGTTCAACGATGTATATGAACATATCTGCTTATCGCTAGAATACCTGGATGAAAATAATTTGAAAACCATCGGAGTCAAACTTCATGCCCTGCTTGCATCGATAAAAACACTTCAATTTATTATGGCTTTAACAGTAGTAAAGCCGATTTTCATCATAATGGAAAATCTCAGTGTGTTTTTACAGAAGAAAGATTGTGATCTTAGCTTATGCATTGATTATGCAAATCACGTATATGATGAAATCAATGCGTTGTGATTCGGAGTTGAAATTCAAAAGCTTGTATGCAGCAGCAAAAGAAATGGCGGACAAAATGGATATTAATTTAGCACCCCCGCGGAATATTGGAATACAGAAGAACAGAGACAATTATGAAGGCGGTCCAGAGGAATATTTTTGTCGGTCCATTTTTCATTCTTTGTTGGACCACTTATTAATGCAGTTAAAAATAAGATTTCTTGAACACCGGGAACTATTGTCGAAAATTCAAAATATTCTTCCAACTAAGTGTTCTGAGCTGAATACAAAAGAAATCAGTGAAACGGTAAATACTTTTGCAAAAGAATGGCCAAATTACATCAAGGGATCTACTGATGATTTTATAGCTGAGATGACCATGTGGCACAGGTAAAAAAAATATTAAATTTGAAATTTAAAATTTCTTATACATAAAAATATTTTTTTGTGATCCATAGGAATTAATACATAAAACGCATTGTTGTTTCAGACATTGTTTAAATATGTCAAAGGATAAACGGCCTAGAACATTTATTGAGACTCTCAACAATTGTAATTCTGCATTGTATCCATCAATACACACATTTTTTGCAGATTGGTGCAAACTCTACCCGTTTCTGTGGCAACAAGTGAACAGTGGCGGTTTTGGCGGTGAGGCAAGTGAGGCGGTRCCTCACTTAAAAATTTAGTAAGAGGAATATGTTTTTTAAACAWATTAGACATAGTATATATTTTTTTCATTTGTATAATATATTATTAATGTTCTGAATTTTGTCATAGAAAAATGTCAAAACAGAATATTAGATTTTAATACAAACATCATTCTGTAGTTAATAGTAATAATATGGTTAAGTTAATTAAATTAATTAATAATATGGTATCAGTTTATACGGGTGT